TCTTAATAGTGCTGAAGTTGGTCTTTAAGAAAAGCTCTATAAAAACGGGAACTAGCCCAACTCTCCCGCCCAACGATATTTGAAGACTTTTTACAAACTTCTTAACACAATCCATCTATTCATCTGACATCTGATATACAAATTTGATTGATTTGTGACATTTTCTCTAGATGCTTCACTTTGTTACTGTTCTCTACAGTTAATTATTTTTTACACAATTAATAGAGGTATAGGAGCAGTACTATAACATTCGAATATTCGCATTTAATTAAGGTCTCTTTGCAATAGGTGCACGATAACTGGATGCGCGTTCCTAAGTTTCCACAACCCTAAAAATGCATTTTGTAGAACATACTAACCTTTTGCTACTTCCTTGAGCGTTTTCAGAGTAAAACCCCCCTCCACTTTGGTAGAGTGCTTTTCCTTGGCAACAATCCACACGCTCTCCAAATTCCGGTTCATCTAATCGAGAAATAGAGCTTCGGATATCAATTTAACACTCTCTTAGGAGCGTAAAATACTGCGCTCCAGCGTCACTTATCTGACCCACGGCGAAAACAAACACTTCCTCCCCCTCCCCTACCCCGGGAGTTGTGCATACGGGCCATAATCCGTCTTGTCTTGTGTTCACTGCTACGCTTGTGTTCAGATGCTGATCTCAAATCTGCTTTCCAAATCTGCTGAGCGATTCTTTAAATGGAATTATGCGATGATTTTAGGCGAAACCTAATGTAGTAGAACTTAAATTACTGGATGTACCACGTTCTTCAGCGGCGGCTTGGAACAGTGGTGACGATGGCGCTTCATGTGCGAGAGACTAGGGTTTGGCTTTAGGGAAGCGGTTATTTTGCATTGTATTGAATTCTTTCCTTGTAGTATATGAATTGTTTTGATGTTGATTTTATCTCGTTTCACGACCTTTTAATGCTTGTGGACGATTTCTCAATCGAAACATGTAATGTCGCTTCAATTTTTTTGCATTTTTGTACACGTTATATCCACAGTGGGGCGGATGCGGTGTGGTGGCAGGTGGCGCACTATCACATACAGATGTTCCAGAGATCGAACTCCGCATAGATTATCGCTCAGGCCAACCAAGCCTTCGTTGATAGTGGATTCGTTCTTCATTCAAAGGTCATGAATCTCTCTAGCCCGTTTCGCTTCCACAGAACCAGGTGAAGGTAATGAACTACCATGCTTGTACCACGAGGCTAATTCAGCCAATCATGGTTCACTTCTTGTTAACGTTCAGGAAAATAGTTATCACCTCATACGTTATAGCTCCCGATCTCACCCTTTGTTTATGGACACGTGATTTGGTTTATTAGCTGCCTACTTCAGTTCTGTTAGATTAAAACTCTCGTTCTGATTCGTGACACGTCGTCGGCTACTTAAACACTCGCCAGGGTCATTTTGAGATGCCTACACAATTCTATTTTCTTTATGATTTGGTAGTGATTGTTAAACAACGCGATGTAACGAAATCTTCCTTTATCAGTTGTTGCAGTTGTGTGAAACGTTTTTGTTCCGTATCATTTAGTACACCACATACATATGTCCATGGAGTGATGAAGAGTCATCCTACTATGAATATTGCGTGTTCAAACACGCAAAAAAAATGAAGCGATATTGCATGGTTTGGGAATAAATCGTCACCACAAGCAGAAGGTCGTAGAACACGATGAAATCGACATCGAAGGATTTTTCAAGCTACAAGAATAATTCAATATCACGCAAAATTCTCGGTCCCCCCAAAACCCGAACCCTTACCGCTGCTCCTACTCATCGTTTCTTCGTCGCTGAGGGACCTACTACATCCATGTAATTCAGCTGCTCTTATGTTAAGCCTCACCTACAATTACCTTATGACTCCATTCAGAGATTCCTTCGGCAAAATTGGACAGCAGATTTTAGATCAGTATGCAGAAACATATCTAGCAATGTGGGTTTCATTACAAACGGCCACTTCGACTTGGAACCCTTCCCTTGCTTAGCATATCGGGTAAACCATGTTATCATGTCGACCAACACTTTCCATAGCAACTCGCTGTTCCAGAGGCCCCATCATTTGTGGTGGACAAGTAGTAGACAACTCCATAGTAAAATAGGTTACGTCATCGTAAATCGGAGGTTTTGCCTGACTGACATCGCTTTTGTTAAGAAACCCTACCGGGATGAAACCATCGTTTCCTGAGCGCTAGATTCTACTTTTCAGTGCGTGGAGAGAGAGGTGCAAAGCCCAGAAAAGGACTGTTGTCAGCTGTGATCATTTCACTTCACTTGTAAGTTTGTTGGAAGATTCCGTTAGCGACAACATCGATTAAGAATACAATCGGATTGTCCAACAACTTTACGGTAGTGCCAGGAAAGCAGAGAGTTTGTTTGATGTCAGAAGCGCTTCGAAGACTCTCGAGATGGTACGCCAGACTGGAATCTAGTGAGCTGCGAGCAATAACCAGCTAACGTCCGTACTTACGAAGCTATGTAGAGAAGCGATAAAAAAAAGATCTGAAAGAGAGGATAGCAGCAGTTTAAGCCGAAGCTGCCGAGGCTGGGAAGAGCATTTGCAAGTCGCGACGGAGCTTCGCCAATTACAAGGTCAAGATGACTTCCCTTCATGACTTGAGGGATGATGACCTCTACTCTGATCTCTTCGACAGCCACGTCTACCTGCATACCTACCATCTTAGCCAAGATGATTACGTGTACGACCAGCGATAGGGACTTCATTGGTTGCAGAACTATGTTGACACCTTTGCTGCCACAAGGCACCACTTATTGAAAAAACTTCATCTCCGGCAATTACCAAAAACACAACAAAAAACTAAACACCAATTGGTGTGCTTGAGCTGTGGTGAGTGTACGGCCTCTTGCCCCGATAGGATGAAATCAGAATATCTGAGAAGTCTTCAACTAGTTTCCATCAGAACTCTGGCCGGGCTCTTCTCGCAGTACCTGTTGGAGTGCAAAGTGCCCACTTCGTGGAAAAACAGCGAGACTGTGTTGCTGTATAAGAAGGGGAACCAGACGATATTGGCAATTATCACCCAATCTGCCTGCTGTGTGTAATCTACAAGCCTTCACATGCGTCATCCGAACAGGATTGGCAGAATATTAGATGAAGGATATGTGAATAAACGGGGTTTCAGAGAGGGTTTAGTACAGTAGATCACATCCACACTCTTACAGGGCTCATAGAAGTATCGCGAATGTACAAAATGCCGCTATGTCTTACGTTCATCGATTCGAATAAAGTCTTTGATATCGTCGAGACAGAAGCGGTAATCGAAGTAATCGAAACCCTGTGCAACCGGGGTGTTCCCATTCAATTCATATATAAGAATGCTTCCTGAGCTCTACAACAACTTCGTGACTAGGATCATGACCATACTATAAAGAACTCATCATCGACCTGAACAGAGGGGCTCGAGAAGGCTATACCATCTCGCCCATACTTTCCAATGCCGCTCTTGAGAACATCATGCGTTATATGGAATGGGAAGGCATGGGAGTGTAGGTCGACAGCCGCTACTTATATCATCTCCGCTTTGCAGACGACAACGTGCTCATAACACCAACATCACGAACATCGAGCAGGCGGAACAAATGCTGGCCGAAATTGACAACGCTTGTGGAAAGATCGGCTTACGATTGAACCTGACGAAGACGATGTCCATGTGAAACGGAGTGGTATCTTATGCTCATTTCGTGCTGAACGGAGTGAAAATCTCCGTATGCTTACGCTGCATGTATCCAGGCCGAGAGGCCAGTGTGACGAACGACTAAGCACTGAAGCTGAGCAGAAAAACGCGGTGGAGGGACGTTTAAGAAGATCGAGGGAGTGGTGAAGAAGGCAAAGAACATCCGGCTTTGACGTAAGCCTGATAACTTGGACTCTACGAGAGCAGAATAAGCATGCAGTCAGCTTCATTCAACGCGCTGTGGAAAAGACGATGCTCAGAATTTCTCTATACAAGCAGGTGCAGGCACTCCCAATCTTTGTTCCCCGTCGGAGTTCCAACCTACGACAACGAACGATGATCGGGAATGCCGTTGATCATGCCAAGAAACCGGAAATCAGGTGGACCGAGCACGTGATGCCGCATAATTTTGACTATTGGACCAGGACGGTTACTCACTAGATCCCTGGGGATGTTTACCGAAATTTCTTCGCGAAAAAAAGGAAGGACGGAATGCTTTGCTACGAGTTCCTCGAGCGAGGACGATCCACTGGATTACTCTGGCTCGCAACCAGGACGAATGGGAACGTTTCTGGCGTCCGCTAGAGGAAATCGATGGTCAACGGGGCGACAGGTGATTGGATAAATCCATTATTGGTAAGAATAATAAGGGGTAAAGTCTTCTGGCGTTTATCAATCCCGTCTGAGAATGCGTCTCAGCATTAAACTTCCACTCAGAATCGTAGTGGCGTATTGAATGTGTTTATGGCCTATACAATGTTTTAGCCAGCCGATGCGCATTCAGTACTCTTATCCCCCTAGACAAGTCTGGTACCAAATAACCGGGTGCTGGTACCTCTCCCCGAACTCCCACCGCAAGCGGCAGTCGTTTTGCGACGGTTACCATATCCTTGAACATGAAAATCGAAGCTTTTCTTTCGTAGCGCGACGCTGTTTTTGGAGGTACCACACTCCAACTAACCTACCTCGTACGGATGGATGGCTTGGTTGGCCAGACTTTCATCGATGCAAGACTGGAACCCCTGACCTTGCGGGTGAGAGTTCGCCACTTGCTACTACGCCTCCTCCGCTCATTGCCATGGTTTAAAGAGCTTTGCAGTGCTCATTAACGAAACCAGTTATACCGATGCGATCAGATTCTTTTTGTGCTCGAAATGTGCCAGCCGTACTCGCATTTAATAGAAGGCCCACAATCACTTATTAGAGTTCTGCCTAAACCCCGTGCACTGCCTAAATAAATTTGTAGGTGTCTTGTGGAAGATCAGGCTGTAATCGATGCACATTCGTTTTTTAAACATTTAAAACTAGAAACTGACACTATTTCTTTTTACTTCACTCCAGCTCGTCCCTACCCTCGTCCCTATTGTGATTTGATCGAGTTACATCTGAACAGCATGTTTCTTCTGTTCCTTTTCCTGACATCACCCTGTACCCAAAATTCGGCAATAGCCGAACTCATTATACTGGCTGTTAATTACAGCCTCCTCATCGAATCGTTGGAAATATTTATACAGTAGCGCTCAAAAGTATTCGGCGAAGTGCTTCTTCAGTTATAGTTTTCAGTCGTAGCTCCTTTCCTACTGGATCTATTCACGCGAAATTTCAATATGTGTAGCATTGATGTAGTGTGCATATTTACCACTATTAACCTGCATTTTGATCATGTTCCATATATCCCAAAGAGCTTGAATTCAACCTCAATTGAAAATAGGGACATTGACGCTTCTGGGATTTCTTTCCTTTTTGTCATGTCCAAAGTGTACGAGCGCTAATGTCGAACACAGAAGGGGAGAAATACACAAATAAGGTGCGAATAACCGCAGACGTCACAAACTTGCTTTCAGCATAGTCTACAAAAGCCTTCCTCTTAGCTATGTGGGGATTGCTACTTTGCAGTCAAATAGTGTTGGATAGTGTGAAATATGCTTCAGTCAAACATATCAAAAGTTCATGCGATTTGCTCCACTGGAGAAAAGTTACGGCAAGTTAAAGTTGGCCGAATACATTTGAGTGCTACTATATATATATATATTATATATATATATATATTATATATATATATATATTATATATATATATATATATATATATATATATAGTAGCAGCCAAAGCAAAGTCTTCGGTGAAACGCTTTTCCATTCGTTACTTTTTTCCTCGTAGAGGGATTCAAGAAGATTTTTGATATGTCAAACCTCACTTAAACCGAACCAGTTTATACTTTTTGGCTACAAAACGGTAGGATTAGTTGACTACGAGCAGAAGTGCTACTACAGAAGCGACTTTTCCTGATTGCGAGGTTAGCGATAATGGCATTTTTTACATCCCTTTTGTGCTCGAGGTTAGTACTTGTACGCTCAAGGCATGTATAGAAGGGCAGTAGTCGTTCAGAGAATTCGGCTGGCAGCAGCAGACATGGAAGAATCGGGCATGAAAGTCACGGTCACTTCAAGAATTTTGAAGGACCCACAGCAGACGATTTCTTCGATTATCCCACGCTAGCAGGTCAGAAACTGCGTTTGCAATGCTTAGAGAACGGGAAGACTCCGATGTGCTTTATCAGCCCAGGACAGACGGATAACACTTCGGTCGAGGGCTGGCCCTCGCGGCTAACGTTGCCGCTGAGTTCAACGGTAGCACCATTGCTTGCCGGCAGACTGTAGGAAGACCCCTAAACAATGCTGGTATTTATGTGAGGCGTCCGACTAACAAGGCGCTCATCAGATCAAAAAGTAGGAGAGCTAGAGTGGAGTTCGCGCCCTGTCACCTCAACTGGACGTCGACTGAATGCAGTAGAGTTCCTTCTATAGATCGGCGCAAGTTCAATCAGTTGGTAAGCGATGGTATACGCTGTGAGCGACGTCCATCTGAGGAAAGGTTCAATGCAAATACACCCTACCCACAACTAAGCATGTTGGAGGAAGTGTGATGGTATACGGTGCCTTCTTCTCGAGCGGGATGGGACCTATTTTAAAAATTGACGGCACGATTACAGAGGAGTAGTACAAGAATATGACGATCGACATGCTCTTGCCATGGCCACAGCATCACATGCCAGCAGGACAAATCCTGCAGCAGGGTAATGATCTGAAACCCCTCTCAATAGTTGTCAAGGCGGTCTTCAGCGAACAACAAACCATACTTCTGGAGAGGTCCAGAAAGTCTTCGGATCTGAAACCAATAGAGCACATGTTGGGAGAGCTCAAGTGGCGTTTTTTGATCAAACTTTGTGAGAACAGCGAAGAAGAGAACGCCATGCCAGTGTCTACCATTCAAAGACTAATCGACTCGATGTCTCCCCATTGTGATGCTATCATCAAAAGTCGAGGCTTTTCTACAAAATATCGATGTTTTTGATGTCTTACACGTTTCTTTTCTGAAATAAAGCGGTTTCTATTAGGTCGGTGCTATCTGTATTTCTCACTGAATTTGAGTTAAATCTCACTAACGTAACGTGGACAACAGCAAATTGCAGTTTAATAGCGGTAAGTATTCATGATATGCCTTTGATTAACATACTAGATATTCGTGTGACTTTATGAAGTAGGAAAAAAGTCACAGTTGAGAAAGTGTTTCACCGAAGGCTTTTGGCCGCTACTAATAGGGTGCGCCATAAATATGGTATCAACTTTTCGAACGTCCGAATTTTTCTTGTTTGGAGGGTTTCTCCAAACCTGAACCTTCCCTTATGTTTATGATATACCTTAGACTACGTATATAATTTGGTGCTCTCAATTCGTCAGATTTTGAAAAACGTTGGAGCCTCGCAGACATCTATCGGCCGTTCCGTCTTTGCGCGCATTTTGTGAGTCCCTTTCCAAAATTTCTCCTCGTTTCAACGTTCCCCCGCTGACAGTCCCTTGAATCGCGATGCTTACGCATGTGGGAGCAAACCTCAGGACGGTCGTCTTGCCTCACACACAACCCCTTTTCCGAATAGAATCAGTTGGAAAGGAGATGCTGCAAAACCTACCGAAATACGAGGAAAAAGACTGCTGATTTGTTTGTATGTTCCAATCCAAT